CCCGGGCAGGGTTGCCCCGGGCCCCCCAACAGCCGAGCTCCCGTCACGGGAAAGCTCGTCAGCCCCTTCCAGGCCCGAAGCGGAGAGCAACAGCGGTAGCAGGAGGGCCCTGCTCCCTCCTGGCTGCGAGGTCTCGCGGGGCTGGGGGCAAGGGGAGCGAACCCCGCTGCCAGAGGCTGCTCCGCCCCGCGCCCACCCAACCACGCCAGGCTCCCCCGGGAGCCACCTCAGGCTGCCCGTGACGCTGGGAGCAGTATCAAAATGGCGCCATGACCCTTCATGTAGAAGTAACTTGTTAACAGCAGAATTAAGACCACCACCTAAATAAGTGAGTATCAAACCCTGAGGGGGAAGGGGGAGCCATTTTGTACCTACAGCACTGCAAAGCCACATTCTGCGAAAATAATTTGTACCTAGTTGACAGAATTGTATCCAGTTGGCAAAATAAATGCAAAGTTTAAACCTGGTGAGCTTCAAATGATTGATTCATAGCTTCTGAAACATAGTGTATAATGAAAAAGGATATACCTCTGAAGCACCTTGCAGTGTAAAACTTTGGCAGTTATTTTATTGCTTAGTCCTAATCCTTGAGTTCTTCGCATACAAAAGGACTTTTGCTTATATCCCTTTTATAAAGGTACAGATAAAAATATTTATTTGGCTTTACATGCTCACTAAAGATGAAGTGACCCTCACCCAGCTAAAGCAGAAATGTTTATTTTCAATTTTGGAATGGTCTGTAACAGCGTCACTTAGGCTGTACTAAATGATGAATAACAACAGCGGCACTGAGACACCACAGTTCATAAAAACAGTATTCCCCACCAATATCGTGCTGCAGCACTAATGCAATAAAGGACAGAGACTACAGGGAGTAAAAACAATTCATAGCAGTGAAAAAAATCATTAAAATATCATGAAGTTCAAATTAATCTCTTCTTTCCATTTCACTTGAAGACAGGTATGAAATTCTGTAAAAAAAAAAAACACCCTACAGTTCTTACACAATTTAAAATTTAGCAAGTGACAAATAAAGATAAGCAAACATGAACTGCAAGTTTAACATCTGAAATGGCAAAACTAATCAGTAAATGCAAATGTTAAAAGCTGTAATTGGATTCTGCACCTTCCCTGCTGCTACACGGCAGTTCTGTCTCTCCGAACCAGTGAGCGTACGAGTACCGACACTGCTTTCATCATACTGCTCCACCTCGACCTAGGAAAACACGGGTCTGAGCAGCTCTCTGATTCGACCCACAGCTGCAAAATGGAATCTTATTTTTCAAAACTGGAGTTATATATGTATTTATTCTGTGCAGGTGGACTCAAGCACCCATGCAGAACCCAGCTGAAATCAATCAGGTTCAGCGCAGCTGCAATATTCGGTCCTCACAGAACAAGTTTCAGACCTGGTAGTCAAGCTATCACTTTAAACAACTCAATATCAATGAATATTTAATAAGTTTATATGGAAAAGTTTTATGCAACCAACTTTCAATTCACACCCAGTTTGGGTTTGTTTTGTTTTTTTTTAAATCATCTACACATCTGATGCAAAGTATTACAAACAGACAGCAAAAAACGAGATGGCTCCTCCACAGATCTGTTGATGAAGCCAAGGCACGCTGCTCCAGGCCGTGGTCATTGCATACAAAGAACTCTCCTTCAAGGGATTCTGAATTTTGCTTTTTCTTCTGCACTCTGGGGTTTAAGATATTTGCTGCTCTTCAAGACTACGAGTGCAGGCAGGCAAGCGGGCAGCAGTCACCGCCAAGAGCTGTAACCGTGAGTTCTTGGCTGCGCTGCCGGCACCAGCTCTTTGGGCAGGCACGACAGCGTGTGCAGCCAGAGCAGTGCGCTGTGACAGTAATTCCGATTCCCACAGGTAGCTGGAAAGCTCACACGCACACCCCCAAGTTTAAAAGACAGTTTTGTAAAACAGAGATTCTATCGATGAATCGATCATCTGTTGCCAAGCACTAACGAAAATCATCGTCAGGCAACTGGCAGTTAAGAACTTCTCTCGTTTTTTGCACTGAAAAGATATGTAGAATGTCATAGATAAAAAAAATACAAAAGAATGTGATGGGGAAGGGCTTTGTAACAATGAGTCCAGGGACAAGGTCCTTCACCGAAGAGGGCTCTGACAACTTGCCCCACTTGCAGAGTTACCCCCCTGATTTTTACAGTTGCCCTCAGACTTCAACAAAGCTACCACGAAATAGAGCCCCAGATCAGCAAAATATTTAAGTGTTTGCTTGATTTTAATCACAGGCTTAAATACTACTGCAGCCAACTGAAAACTGAATTAAAATCAGCACCGTAGTGAAAGAGTTATTTTACATTTTTTTCAAATAATTTCTAGGGTAAAGCGTTCTGTTCAGTCTCTTGAACCTAGTTTGGGGAGCAGGTAGAGGGTATCCCAGCAGGCGGTTCAGGCTCTGCATGGTCTTACCATCTCGCCTACGTGCAAAACCAAAAGAAACAAAACTTCAGTGATAGAGCCACAGTAAGTCTGTGAAAGAGGAACATTCCGCAGCTGAACAAATACAGCCCTTCACAAATTTGTTCATATACTTTAGTGTACATTTTCCACCCTCTATTTTACTTCATGCCAGTCTAATTTAGGCTCATTAGTTTCCGTACACTACATAACACATGTCAAATAATAAAAAACTTTCCTCAAGAAGCAAAATTCACTATTAAAACCCAAAAAAGCTTAACACTTACTTCTACAGCAGCTTCACTTTTTAAACATAATATCTTGTTTGCTTTGATAGAGCAGAAAAGAATGCATTTTTTCCTGTGCAGGTAGTTACACTCTGCAACCCAGTCATCCCTCAGATATAAAGTGGCTGCATCTACCTCAGGCTCTGCAGTGATCAATGTGTAAAGTGAGGGGTAAGTAACTGATTAAAATTCCCCAATTTATACTATGAGGAAAAAAACCCTAATTTTTTGCATTTAATGCTTAAATATTATATGTTAGTTTAATATTTTTAGTAATTATATTTATGATTTTTACATGTAATATTTAGACAACTCAACTCCTGACAAGTTGAATGATTTATTTCCCCCCTGAAAGCAATACTGCCCCAGCCAGAATCCTCCGAGATGCCCCCCTACATCCCTCCGTTTAAGCGATGGGGCTGCAAAGGGTTTGATCCTTACTGAAACACTTCCCTACTCGATTTTTTTTATGCTTTAAGACTCGCCTTTCTCGCGTTCACAAGGACAGAGTACGCATGATGTGCAGAAGTTTTTCCTGAAGTCAAACTTCAGTAAGACTTTATCTTTCAAAATAAATCATTTTTGGATGAAAGATGGAGGTTTGTGCTGTTCTACACATGGCATGTGAGAAGTTCTGGATGCTGATTAAAAAGCTCTTGTATCTAGCCTAATCTATTCAGGATAAATTTAGATGCCAAATTCCTCAAACACTGCTCAAAAGTGAGATTCTTCAAACTAAAGCGCAAGTTATAGATCACAAAATGTGAACATAATTTATATAAAACTGAGTAGCTGCCCAAACTTGAAGATCTATGAATTTGTTTAAGATTGTATTTTGGTATCACCACTAGAGATGGGTGAGAAAAATCTGCACAGCAGCCTTTAGAGCTGCAGATGTTTCTGGCTAGCACCCTTCCTTTTAGCACTGTGCACAGCTTCTAGCAGCTTATTCAAAGTCTCATGCAGTAGTGGCAGCTGAATTTCCTTCGAAACACGCTTCTTTCCAGTAATGCTGAAGTCTTCAGCAGCCATCCATTTAAGCGATGGGTGCAGCAATCTGCCTTCTGAAGTACCCATTTGCTCTTGGATGTCCCTCCTGACCTGTGCGTGCAGACGCTGCGCTGCAGAAGCAGCTGGCACGGACTGAAATTAAACCAGCTACTCATACGCCAGAAATAAACAGCAAAGTGG